GCCAGTCTAATGCAACCCATACGATCCACAACGTAAGCTCATCGCGCGCACTTAGGGGCGAACCATTTGATATCCTGGGGGCAGGAAGATTTTGTGGGGGGAAATCTATGACAATGCTTGGAAAACAATCCTACACTATATGCATGTAAGAATTAAAGACAATGTCTGCTTGGAAAAAAAATCCATATCAGATAGGGGGGGAAAAGTCTTCCTGCCCCCAGGATATCAAATCGTCCGCCCTCACTGTTAGCAACACCTATATCTGATATATCACGGTTACTAGAAGAATTCACACAACTAAATGTGACTGTTTTGTTTTACACTTTCAGGATCAACAACGCTCGAAAAATCACTACTCACAGTCGCTACTGTATTGACATTGTTAACAGCATTACAATTTTTTGAGTCGGTGTATTATTTAAGAAACAAAATACAAACTAAACTAAGGCGAAATAAAATGATATGGGTCTTAGGAATATACCCAGTAAGTACATGTATTTATATTTATTGAATTATCGACTGCATCTAGAAGTGAAATAGCAAAATCGGCTCTATTGTAACATTTTTATTGAATTTCTCGTATACCTGTCAAACATCGCTCAGTATTGTGTCAACCATTTTCTAGGAAACCGGAAGTAACATTATATTTTGTTTTTCTTGCACACAGATTTACAGTATTACTTGTTGTATTGGTTTATTTGTACCACGTGCTGCAATGATTACCAACTTTACAGCAGCCATGTAAGTAATAACAATTGCAGTTATTGTAATAACGCACCACGAGGAATTAAATAATGAACTGACATCTTGTCATTTTACTAGAGGGAACGTAGTTGACTTTCACATTGTACGCTCTTAGGGACAACATCAACAGTTCAATGTAAGATAACAAACATAATTCCTTTAGTTTTTTCCCAAACCCTCCTACCCTCCACTGAAACTTAATTGATAAATATTGACCATGGTGTCAGACTACATTCACCATTAAATACAATTTGATAATCGGACAGTAGTATGACATAGCAGTTGGTTGTCGGGTGGGTGTAAAAAAACTTTACACTCGGACCAAACCATTTTCTCGTCTTGGATGTTTTTTTTTTTCATTATCTGTTATTTTTTTGTCCATGATGTGATAGAAAAAAGCGAACTACAAATACTCCAAGATTTGTTTTGACTTCATTAAAAAATAAAATCGTTTTTGTTGGATGGAAACTTTTTGATGTCAAAACCCCCCACTCCCTTGAAGCGTTTTCTTATACGCTTTTTAACAGGCTGCGCCCTCAAGCGACTTAATGCTTTTATGACGTCAAACTGACGAAGATGAGTGCCTACAATACCGTTGAAATTGACAATTTTATTTGGTTATGTAGCCGTTCGTCCATTTGAAGACTTCAAAAACAGTATTTGTTATAGACGGCGACCACATACTAAAACGAGAGGCGAGAGGCGCCCATTCTACCCGTATATGCCACGAACGTGACCCGCTACGATGCTAGCGGAATGATGCACTTGTTAGAAATCCATCTTTTTATATCAATCTCTGCGTTTTATTAAATTTTCCGTTTCTTTTTTTGTATATTGCAGTTATTTTTCTGTAACTCTATACATGTTTGTCACACTAATCATTGATTACTATGGCGGCTCTACCGCGATGCACCAAACACTGAGAAATAAAAGGATAAACCTCGCCTCAATACCACTGATGTGTTGTTGTTTGTGTATACCCACGGTCAAAGTAACTCCGTGAGTAGTAATTCCACATACTATCATACTATACCATTAAATGCCAGATAGATCGTTATAATTATTTCCCCGCACGATATTCGTTTACAATTGTATTTTCCCTTGTTCAATTTCACATGAATCATTGTTTTAAATATATAATAATATCCTCGGTCAAAATGCGCATTAAAAGTAACATATTTTTCAATGCTATATAAAATTTCAAAATAATTTCGTTCCGTTTGCTTTCAGACGAGCTGGTCGTTGGTTGAGGAGAGCTGTTTTACAAGTATCAATTATTCGCCCTTGTGTGCTCTTCATTGCCGTTGTGTTGTGGGCAGGTGGGAAATTGTCACCAGGAGGGGTAGGTCGTTTTAGAGTGTGGTTACGTTGCTTCAAGACTGGGTTAGGTCGCTTCAGTGTTTGGTTACATCTTGCTTCAGACTGGGTTAGACCGCTTTGCAGCTGCGTTACGTTGAAGTGACTTGCTTCAGAGTTGGGCTTAGGTAACTTTGGAGTTATATTAATTCGCTTCAGAGTCTCGCTCCGGAAGCGAACTAAGTCGATTTGAAGTTTGGTTTTGTTGCTTGGGGTTAGGTTGTTGGAATGTTAGTGAAATACTTTGCTGTTATCCAAATACATTTTATAAGGATTTGTTTCCATAGTTACTGTCAGAATCCTTTATTCTATGTTTTGAGTCATTTACTTCAAACCCTGCAAATGTAAGTGTGCATGGATTCATGGGAAGAAACGGTGTGCATTGTGATTACTGTCATAGAGGTGATTGACAGGTCATACTAGGCAGGCCTCACACTGTGACAGTTACCATTCCGTGATATCGAAACAAACAAAACAAAAAACAAGTTTTCTGTTTTATTTTTCAAGGTTGGACTAATGGAACCGTTTCTATGGGTAACGATCGTCTCCATCGCATCAACAATTACCGCTATCCAAGCTATTGGCATTCTTCATACCGTATCAATGGAACCATTAAAAGAATACCAAATCACGCCTAAGTTTATATGTATTCAGTTGACACTAATATTAGGAAGTGTTCAGCTTGGTTTGCTCACTCTTCTGTCCAACGTTGGTATAATACCTTGTGCGTATCCGTTTGCAAACCAACCGCGTGTTTACAGTGAGTAACCCAATTCCCGTAAATATCATATTACATTTTGAACATCCTAATTTTGTGTATATTTTTGCAAAAGGCAAAATGTTGACACTTCGATACTAAAGGGATGCCTGATAACATGATTGGTCCTACATAAATATTGTTATTTTATTTTATTCACTTTTTTTTTTAGACATTTACAACTTTCTGGTCATCTGCGAATTCTTCCTTATCAACATCTTCTCGCGATTTCTCTTTCGCACACGTAGACATGGAAACACGGAGCAGGTGATGACACCAGAAGAGGCCATAGAAGCAGGAAAAAATCACATCACATTCTACAAAACTCCTCCCAACAGTCCATATTTGGTTAAATTCAGCAGTAAGAACGAAGTAGTGAACGATGTATGTGATGATAATACAAACGATGGCACGGTAAACGTTGCCATGGAGCAGCCTCAGAAATCTGAGAACCACTAACAGGTGACTCGCATTTGAGATTCGCCCTCTATCGATGAATATATAAAACACGTGAGTCACTCGTACTTGGTTGATTTTTGGTCGTAGGGGCGAAATATGATGTGAGGGGAGGTAACGCAATTATTCAGATCATTCGTGGTTGCATTCGTATAAGTTCTTCCATTTTTGAGTTTCATGTTCAGTGAAATTGTGTACTTAATGGTAGACTCTTCAATGGTTTGTATCAAACTCGTATATACCAAATTATGTACCCGTATTTATATGCAGCATAGCCGAGGACATGAAATTTTTAATATTATTGTGTTTGGCAGTGATGACTACATTGGACTATGATTTATCATGACAGGAACACGCTGCTTTTGTTGTATTCGTTCGAGAAAACAATGAAAACTATAATACATATGTGACATGCGCATTGGTTGTTTTGGTACGTACTATAATAACCTCTACACATGCGTATTAGTGGTTCTGATTATTTATCTGACGAATACCGTTGTGCATCCTGCAAACGCAACATTTTTAGTTTGTGAAATATCTTAATTCGATTTGGTCTACAGTGTGGAGTATTAAATAACAATATTAAAAAATATATGTTTTTTTCCATATTGTATCTTTAATACTAGCGTTAATGAAATATTGATATTATATATTATATTGTTTATACTGTAATTAAACATATTCACCAACTTTTGTATTAATATTGAAGCGTGTCTTATATTGGTATGTCCGAGTAAGCCATGACTCAAGATAAGGTCTACGTTTTAAAAACGTGTGTGTGAACTACCAACTTCGCAACACAAATACGGCGATCATCGATCGGGCCTGGTCGACGCCGGAGTATGACATTTATTGTTATAATATGATAATAATTGTATAGATAGTCACGTTGCTGTTCAACTTCACAAGATCCATTATCGACACGGACGTAGAATCTTACCTGTCTTGGGTTGGACAACAAAACAGGGACCTGATACGATATAGTTTTTAAAAGTGTATTTATATGCGACATACCATGCAAAAAGTGTCATGACTCAATAATCGTTAACATTTGGTCCTTGCACTCATAGTACATTTATGGTTGGAATCTCGCGGTACAATGAACGCGGCAAAGCCGAATTTATTGTCGTGTTTGATTTATCTAGTTGGACAGAAAATTGGCAAACTAACTCCCTGGCCGTGTCTTCCCATAATGCAACAGGCGTTTTACAGGTCATAGTACGCCATTAATGTCTTGTCACTGTTGGTTGGATACCAGCGCGTACGATCTCAGGAATTTGAGGACCAATTTATGTAGAAAGCTTATAGATTAATCGCATGATATTTTTTTTTTATATTTGGCTAAGAATCTGCATCACATAATATTCAAACATATTTTACCAAAACAGACAAAGTTTAGTAGGTAGTGTCGTGTGTAGTGAATGATATAATAATAAAGGCATATTTTTGTCTTCAAACTACGGTGCGACAAGCGTACTACTACCACTCATCAAAAGATAGAATATATACAGCTAAACCAAATAAATAAATGTTTATGATAACATTTCACATATTAATAATTAGTTCCATGCGACTTTCAGACGCCAAAGTAAAATTGTTCACAAAACAAATTGGAATATTTTTTTTCCATTTAAAAAAAAATAGTCAAGACTTGGAGTCAATTGAGTACATAAGGTTCAAAATTTAGTGAGCTAAAAGATGCATCCAAATTTTGGCGGGAAAAATATGGCTAAAAGGGGTTAAGATGGATTCACGTAACAAAAGGGGCAGTTTAACTGGAGCAGATATCGGAAAATTCATCAGACAGAAAAATTCAAATTCTCGAACTACTGAAATATTACGCCTTCTCAATCACCACATATTGCTGTGGGTCCCATAGTATTGGCGCTTTTATCAAAAACAACACGGACAACATGTAGTTGGATGAAATATCATAGACAAACTATGTTGTTGCATATTGATGTACGGTATAATAATTGAATGGTATGTTGTACACATAAAAAGGGGGAACTTATTGGGGTGCAGTAAAGCGGTGTTATGCCCCTTTGCGTGACAGTGCCTGGCCAAGCATGGTCGGCAAACTTTGAAGTCAGTCATATGGAATTCGATAATCAAAGTAATCATCTAAATACTACTTTAATTTCATTTATTACCTCACATATTAATGGCGATTTTTATTAGAATTTATAACTTTTGAATCATTGTTGACTTTGTCGTTATAGATGTGAAGGCCCGACGTGAAAGGACACCGCTGAATATGGCCGACTTGTAAAAATAAATACAACTCGTTCTTGATTGCGTTTCATTCCTTCTTCTTTATACTACTATCATTATTATATTTTTATCTTATCATAGTTTAGTTTATTTAGCTGCTGTATTTTTTATGATTTTTATTTTTATTATTTTATTTTAGTTATCATACTGCGTCCTCTGATGGCGTAGTAGTGTAATACAGTTATTATTATTACTACTACCAAGCGACCTGGGATAGATTTTAGTATGGGCTGGTGTTTATTGGCGCTTTATTTGTGCAAGCATCAGGGAGTGGGACTACATACATCTGTATAGGGGGGTTACTCACATACTAGTAGTTGAAGTATACGGGCATGCACCACTGTTTTGACAACCACTTTTAGTCGAAAGCGCCCTCAACGTTGATATTGTTTGGGTACAATTCTCAACTGGCAACGGAGTACTTCTACCCACCATGTGAGTACACCGGGACTTTAAACACTATCGCAATGTGGATAGTGTCTTAAATCGATAATAAATCAATATACGAATCGATACAGTAAAAGGTATCATTCTTGAGCAGAACTATATAACTAATGGATGGGTTCGAAAATCACTTGAGTTTTGTAGGATGGTAAAATTTGAGTTTGAGTGTTCTCAGTTTTCCATGAAATAGTTAAGCTTCGTATTATCGGATGGATGTGGATAATTGCACCAACTGACTTGAAACTCAACTTGGTGGTGAACAACCCAAAACAGTATGTGTAATCTTAATGAATATTGATGTTAAAATACTATTATTATATGTACTTTGTATGACAATTACCGCGACAAAATATGGGTTTACAGAAATAAACCCACAGTGTTGTCAGAATCAATTGTATGAGGGCTTACTCCTGAAACTTAGAACACAATCACGTGGTTTCTAGTAAAGTGGTGTTATGCGTGCGTCCTTAGTAATAAAGACGCTGTTAATAGTCATGTTTGCAATGGTTATTGTCAAAACAACAATGTTCGGTCTCGAAGAGGATCACAGTTTTCTGTACGAAGG